CACCGTGTCTGAGCACCGTCGAAGAAATTGCAGCGGTGAACCGCAATCGCTATAGCGCGGGCGACATCACCGCCGACCAAGATGATATGGTCACGGGCCTTCTCTGGTCGGACCCGACAAACGACGTGCCCCTGTACAAGCGCAACCCACGCGGCTGCGGCTTTCTGTTCGGTCCCACCGCGTCGTCTAACTTCTGTGCAGCGAACAAGGTGGACTTCATCTGCCGTGCGCATCAGGTGGCGATGAATGGTTACTTCTGGACGCACAACGACCGCGTGGTGACGGTCTTCTCGGCGCCGAACTACTGCGGTGTGAACGGCAATAAGGGTGCGGTGCTGGTCGTAAACGGTCACAACCGGCGGCCGATCTTGAAGCAGTATGAGAGCATTGAGGCGGAGGAGGAGGCGCCCGGGCCTCGACCTGTGTTCCCCTACTCGTCCATGTTCTCGTGAGCGCTGAAGATGACTAGAAGGGAAAAAGGAGAGGGGGAGGGAGATGTGAAAGGAGAAATGCACGTCAAATGTGATGCTCTGCTTGTGGGGGTTTCTGGATTTTTTGTTCTCTTCTCTGGGCTATGGGTTGTTTGGACACCTGGTTCCCTTACGCTTGATAATTCTCTTTTTGGGGAGTGTAGAGGCCGCCGTGCGTCACGAAGAAGCGCATGTGCGGTGTCTGCACGATGGCCGCCAGAGGCAGATCGAGGAAGACTTTGTTCACCGCGCTCCACACCGCACCCCCGGCCACGGCGCCCAACGAGGACGTCGCCTCCGTCAGGAACCCGTACACGCGCGACGTCTTCTCCTCCTCGTGGTTGCCGCGGGTCAAGTATACCAGCGAGGGGTACTCCACCTTCAGCGCCAACAACAGAAGCACCACCTCCAAACTGTGCGGGCCGCGATCCACGTAGTCGCCCATGAAGAGGAAGTGGCGGTCCAGGCCGCCGGGGTTGCACCGACGGCGGTCGTACTGCTGGCACAGCACACTCGTGTAGAGATCCTGGAACTGGCCGTGGATGTCGCCAACGACGATGAGGGTGTCGTCGGCGGGCACGTCGAGCTCCAGCAGGCCCGGCTCGGCGGACAGCACCTGCGTGGCGGCCGTGCACAGCTTCGTGATGTTGTCCTCCGTAAAGAACGTCGGCGGCGGCGGCGTCAGGCGCGGGCTCCTGCTACGTCCATTGACGATGGACACAGATGCAGGGGGCAGCCCAATGTCACGCTGCTCTCCACGACACAGCAACCACTCAATCATCGCCACGAAGTCCCCGCGTGCGGGGGCGGCGCTGAAGAAGGGCGGCCGCGCCGCATTTGGCCTCAGCTCCTCCTCTTCCAGGCTCGCGAGGGCACTGCTCGCCGACGTATCCGTCACGAAACACAGCGTGGAGCAGCTCCGACTGACCGACCGACGGGCGGTGGCACGCGCGTGGTTGCCGACGACGGGCGTTGGCTTACCGATGGCGGACGAGGAAGCCGCCGCGGCCTCCGCAGGGCTCCCAGCGCTGGGCTGACCAGCACCGTTATTATGATTACTACTACTGCTAATGATGCAACCTCCCTCGCCTGAGAGACGCATCTTTGGTGGCACTGCGGGCTGCGCATCGAGGAACGGCTCGTGCGTCGCTGATGCACCCTGGCGAGGTAGAGTAGAAGCGGCACCTGTTGCGGCTGCGGCTGCGGCGATCCCACTACTTTTGGATCCTGCCGTGAGCACCGGTGGCGGCGTGGTTTGGTGACGCACGGGCACCATCGGAGCAGACGAGAGGCTGCGCGGACGCGTAGTGGGTGGATTGCGGGGCGTGGGGGTGGTGGCCACTGGGGTTGTCGCTGTTGTCGTCATCCCCACACGCGGGCTGACGGGTACAGCCCCACGCGGCGTCACGATGAACGTCGGCGACCTGAGCGTTATGGAGGTGCCACGTTGCGAGGCGGCGGCGTTGTCGGCGTTGATCCGGCCGACCAGCTGAAGTGGTGGGACCGCGTGGGCAGCCTTCCCCTTCGTACCGGCGGCATCCGCTTTGGACCGCTTGCTCTCCAGTGGAATCAACGTGCCGGCCGGCGAGGACGACTTCCGCTGCGGCAGCCACGCGGTGACTTTGCGGGTGAAGCTCGCCGCGGCGGACGGCGCCTGCGCGCAGAGGGCGTTGGTCTCTGGTGACAGTCCCGCCGGTGGTGAGACGGAGGCGCAGGGGGACGTGGACGGGCTGGCCGCGACGCTGCCGGCGCCGGCGCCGTAGGTCGTGTAGGGAGTAGAGTCTTCATTAAACGGATCGCCGTCGTTGCTGCGGAAGGAGCTGAAGGGGGCCCGCGCCTCGCTTTCAGAGGTGCGCTGCCGCCGGGACGCGCTCAGCGTGCTATGCGGCATGGTAGCACAACGATGAAAACCAACAAACCAACCAACAAACGCAAAACCACGAGCGGAGAGGCGTACCTGTGCGAGTACGCAATTGAGGTACGGAGGCTGAAACGCACAGGAGAGGTGAAGAACACACAAATCGAAAAGCACAAGGCAGATAAGGATAGAGCTGTTTTTGCATGTGACGCGTTACGATGAGAAAAGGCGGCGGAGAACGTGGGAGGGCGACTTCGAGCGCTGCACGTTGACCTTCGCTCCGCGCTTCTCTCTGCCCTCCTTTCTCCTTCCCTCGTCGTACACCACGCTTATCACAGTGAAGCGGTGACAAAGGAGAACAAAGAAAAAGAAAAAACGAAGACGAGCAGAATAACTCCAAGACGCACCACGATACTCCCTTGGGGATTGCGTATTCGCGCCTCAAAAGCCCCCGGCGTGGTAAAATGAGAAGAGAGACGAAAAGGTAAGGAGGAAAGTAGATCGGGGAGCAACAGAACTCGAAGACAACGAAGCGGACGCACCCAGGAGCATTGAACACGCGATTTAGCCTACGAACTACGGCAGAAATAATGATAGAAATAATAACAAAGAAGGAAAGAGAAGCGATAAAAGCAGCGCAAGACGAGCGCCCCCTCCCCTCCCAAAGAGACGAGGCAAATCTGGCTACGAAGATTGAAGGCAAACGAAAAACAGGCAAAAGAAGATCACAAAGCGAAGGAGAAAAAGACGAAAACAAAACTTCAAGTAAGCGAGAGAGAATGAAAAATCAACGGAAGAGAAGCCGAGGCCAAAAACGAGCCAAACATACAAGTTAAAAAAAGGAGCTGGTACAGTGAAGGTATTCGAAAGTGAAGACCGTGCAACGACAGCGCTGAAGACTGACGAACACAGAGGAAGTAGATGCGCAATTGGTCGTAGTTGTGTAGTCAAGATATAAACTTCGAAAAAAAAGGGAGGTGCGTCAAACATAAAACGAGATGAACTTCACGAAGCTTATCGAGTAAGCGGAGAGGGAGGCGGAGGGGGGGGGGGAAATGAGTAGGTTTCTTCGCTGTTCTTTGTTTTTGTTTGTGTGTGGATAACTAACTGCGTTTCTTTTTCCGGACGCGTTTTAACATGAAGGGTGATGATGATTTAGGCGTTTTTCTTATATATATATATATAGAGAGAGAGAGAGAGAGAGAGAAAGCCAGAACGTTCTTTTTGTTCGGTGATCTCTTCGCACCTGCAATAGATGTGACAAACACGAGCTTTCGTCACGTTGAAGAATAAAAGCAAATAAAAAAAAGAAAAGAGAGAAAGAGAGAAAGAGAGGTGACCGTCTTGCCAAAGGAAGAAGAATAATAATAATGAAAGGGGTATTGAACAGCGCCGGCACTCGGTCGGGGCGACTCCCTCAAGCTGCCTCAGGCCACAGTGCTGATAGAGGTGGGGAGATATATATTAAGAACTCTGCTTACGGTCTGGAGGAAGTATGTATATCTAGATAGATGAACAATATACATTCATACACATACAAACAAAACTAAGATGTGTGTTTCTTTTTAATGAATATACGTAGAAGTCCTGAACGCACGTGAGACGAGAACACGAAATAGAGAGACTGACACAGCGGACCTCCCCTCTCCTCTTGTATTATTTATACTTCCTTTCTTTCTTTGGGAGGACTGGGGGACGTTGAGGAACGAACTGCTTGAGCAGGCGGAGGAGAGGCGCCAGTCGAGCAGGAGGGCGGCAAACACCGTTGTGAGCACGTCCAGCCCCACAAGGAAAACAAAAGGATCGCGCGCCACGCACGAGAACGGATGGAAAAAGAAGAGAAAGGCAGAGAGGGAGAGAGAGAAGTAGGAAGAAGATGGAGGAATATTGTAAACTGGCAGGACACACGCTTGAGAAACAAAGCTGCTTGCACACGCCGTGCATTCTTTAGACATCAATCCCTCCTTCTTTTTAATACTTATGAACGAGCATTAAGAATACGAATAAGAATCATACAATCATGCCTGTATTCTACCGTTTTGCAGCAGCTGAGGTAGCGCAGGGCAGCGTTTTTTTTTTTTCTTCTTCTTTTTTGAGGGGGAAGACGTTCTTCTGTGCTCGTTGGACAAAGAGAGACAAATGAATGTAAAATGAAAATGGAGGCGCGTGCGGTCCGTGGGGGAAAAGCAGTAAACCTCTGCCAACGCCCCGACTCGTCATCCCACACGCCCCGCCATTCACAAAAGCTGTCTCTGCTTGAAATTACTTTACGCGGCCCTTCCCGAGAACATGCGGTCCTTTCTGCTTCCGAACCGTGGCGCCGGGCTTCGTCTTCCCAACGGTCGCCACATCCCGGTGCGTTGTCCTCTGCTGGCTCGCCGACGGCGGCGGCGGCGGCACTTTCTGTTCGCCCTTCTCCTCCTCCGCCTTTTTGCTTATGAGACCGCCGCAATCGCAGATGTTTTCTGCCGGGCACGTCAAAATACCGTACTCCGCCGCCATCTCGACCACCACCGGGTCCGACGTGATGATCACCGTGGGCCGCTGCAGCTTCTTCTTGAAGTACACGGCACACAGCACGTACAGCCGCGTATCGTACGAGTTGGCCGGTATCTTCAGCTGCTCGAGGAGCTCTGCATCGTACTCATCGACGCGCTGCACCGTCACACGGAACGTGTCCTTCGTCAGCAGCACGTGCTTCTTCAGATGCAACTTCTCGTAGTTGAGGAGCTCCTTCGGCCGCAGCGGCGACTCGGCCGACGATGCAGCAGCAGGGGGGCCGTGAAGGCTAAACGCAGCCTTTGAGCTCGTTTTCGCGTTTTCATCGAAGAAGTCCAGCGCCAGCTCCGGCACGATCAAGTTGTTCGCGTAGCCCGCCCCGGTCAGCGCCTCCATCGTGGACGCCACAACGTCGCCGATCGCGTTGTGGTCCAGCACGAGGACTGCCTCACGTGGCATCTGGCCGCGCAGCACGGGCTCGAGGGATGGGCAGCCGGCCGCACGCAGTCGCGCGAGAGAGCCTCTCCAGTTTGGGGCGTCAGTTGCGGGATCCATGGGAAGAACAAATCGAGGTAAGATAATATAAGACACACACAAGAATGATGATGATACGTGTATACTGTGTGTCGGTGATATCAACAAAACGCGGCGAAAGTGCTGGAAGACTCCCTGTAGACGCCGTTCACACACACGCACACAACAAGCGCTCCTTCCGAATACAATTCTGAAGAAAAGTCCGGAACGGCACGCTACGCGGCAGCTCTCACCCTCCACTCGCAAGCCCCCACAAACAAAGTAAAAAGGCAAAGAAAATTGCACCAACGATTTCTGCGTCGTTTTGAAATGTGGAAAAGAGTAAGGAAGGCGGGGAGGGAAAGACATAAAGGGAACAGCTACGACGAAGAAGCAGCAGAACGGAAATCGTCAAAGAGCGGCGCAACGACGCACGCGCACCGCGAAAGGAAATCGTTTCCCTCCTCTTCCGCTGCCCTCATCCGCCAGCGTCGACATCGTTCTCACGTGTAGTCGGATCAGACCGCGATACGCTAGAGACGCAGCGCAGAGGCAGAGGGGCAAGAGCCAAGTCCATTTCGCTCCGGTGCTCACCCCTCCCCCTTTCCCTACGAGAAGTGGCAGCTCCCCAAAGCATGCTCTTTTACGATGAATAGCACATTCACACAGCGGCCTACTCTACGATCATTCCTTTGAGTATGTGTGTGTGTGTGTGTGCTTGTGTTTTGCGGTGGCGGTGGCGGGAGGTGGTCCACCTCACCGGTTCTAACGTACAGGGAAAAAGGGGGTGAAGAAGAGGTGCATACACCGCGCCTGCGCGCAGCAACGAAAGTCACGTCATATAGCGTGTGTGAAGCCGCGCAGTAGCAATAAAAATAAAAACAGTAGCGACAATATATGAAGGAGCTTCTTGACGGCAGCAACCGTGCATACGAGGGCCAAATAGAACACACACACACACACCGGGATAGCCTGCAGCTTTTAAAACAAAATAAAGCGTATAATACATCGGTTTATTGGGTTGGAAGAACAAAAAAGGGGAGCCATGTTAATTCACATCTGTCGGAACACGACAATAAGAGAGTGAAAGGCCGTCCTTACTTCTTCTTTGGCGCTGCGGCGGCCTTCCGCTGCGCCGCCTCGTCCTCTGGCGGTTGGAAGTCCTTGACCGGGTTCGCACGGCGCATCGCGGTAGGCAGCGTCGCTTGAAACTCCTGGAACTTGAGCCGATCGGCAGAGCTCAAGCCCTCTGTGGTCGACATGGCCGGCACAAACTCCTCCGGCGCGAGCGGGTGCTGCGGCAGCCGCTCCAGCCGTCGCTGCGGCAGCGTCTGCGCTACGGCGTCGCGCAGCTGCTTGGCGGAGAAGCCGTCCATCAAGACCGCGACGTGGCGCAGGGCGTCGTTGATAGGCGCCGTCGTGGCGGCCGCGGTGTCGGAGAGAGGCGGGAGATGCCCCGCCTGCAGGCGCTCATTCACAAACGCACGCAGCAGCTCCTCGCGTGCGGTGTAGTCTGGTGTGGCAAGGTGCAGCGCGCGTTGGAAGTACTTGCGTAGCGGCGTCATATCCACCGTCCATGGCGCACAGGACGTGGCGATCAACAAGACACGATCGGTGGGCTGCAGGCTGGCGATGCCTTTGATGAGCTCCTTCTTCAGTTTCTTTCCACGGGCTGCCTCGGCATCCTTCTTGGCTCGCTTCCCCTTCCCGCCCTTTCCGGGGAAAATCTTTTCTACGTTGTCGATGTAGATGACGGAGGGCCCCGCCAGCCGCGCCGCGTAGAAGACGATGTGCACCATCTTGGCAATCCCCTTCGTCGTCACGAAGTTGCCGGCCGACAAGTTGAAGAAGCGCGCCCCGCTTTCATTCGCAATGGCGTAGGCGAGCAGCGTCTTGCCGGCGCCGGGAGCACCGTAGAGGAAGAGACCACTCGGGTGAGGGGCCAGGTCGTGGATCACCTGCGAGCCCAGCGGCAGCACACCGTACATCGCCGCCGCCGCGCGCACCTCGGCCGCCGACGGGTCCCGCAGCCACGACGCCTGCGCCGTGTACGCGTTGAAGATCTCTTCCAGCTTCTTCTGTGGCATCCCGACGCTCGCCTCCACCTCCGCGTTCCACCCGCGTAAGATGCGCGCCCACTTCTTCTTGAGCTCGTCGTCCGGCCCTTGCACACGCAGGGCGCGGTCCAGCGGGCCCGCCGCGACGCCGGTAGAGCCGATAAATGACATCAAAGTCACCTCCGGCGGCGGCAGCTGCAGTTTGTTCTCGTATATGGTGGTGTTCAGCATCGTCTCGAGGTTCTCGCCCTTGGTCGGGTCCCGCAGCTTCGGCTTCTTCACCTTCTTCTCCTTCTTGCCCTTGCGACCGCCTTTCTTCTTGTTCGCGTTCTTCTCCGCCTCGAGCTTCTCCTTGAGGTTCGTCACCTCCATCATGACGAGCTGGTCCACGCACCGCCGCAGGTCTTGCATCACGCCACGCGGCCCCTCCAGCAGCTCCTGTCGCAGCAGGCCGTCGTCGCACAGCTGATCCAAGTCATCCTGCTCCACCGCGGTCTGCTGGAACTTCTCTCGCCACACGGCGTTGTAGCGCTCCGCGCCGGCCTTGAGGTGGTCGGCGAAGACACTCGCCGGCACCGTCGGCGCACCCGCGTCACCACCGTCGGCCGCTGCGGCAGCTCCGGCACCGCTTTTGCGGCTCGATGACGAAGCCGGGCGCGACGACGACGACGCTCCCACCACCGCGGAAGCCGCCGCCTTCTCAGAGGAGCCAAGCGCAACGGATGCTGCGCGACCGGATGCCCTGCCCCCACCGCCGACGCCGACGGTGCTCTTCCGGCTGCTCTGGCGATCGCCTTCGCCGCCGTTGTTGCTTGTCGCGGTGGACGATCGTCCAAGCAATGCCAGGCTGCCGCCCTCGTCTACGCTCGGCACGTCCATGATGCCATCCTTCGCCTTTCCTTCGAGCCGCGACTGCGCGAGGTGCATGAGCACCTCGTCCATCATCTTCTCCAGTGTCTTGGGGCCTTCTTGGTGGCGCAGCTGCTCCTCCATCGCGAATGTTTTCTGCGTCAGCTCCGCCTGATTGACGCGCTGACGTGCCTTGCGGTCCTCGCGGCGCACGCCCGCCGCCAGCTTCGCCTGATCGCTTCGCACCACCGCCGTGCTGGCCATCCCGAGCAGCTCCCGCTCCTGCTGATAGCGCGCCTTCGCTCTCTTTTGTTGTAAGTAGCCGAGGGCGATCTTCTGCACGATGGTGGCAGCTCGCTCCCTCCCGGTCAGCGACTTCAGCTCCGCTCCGTAGGCGGCCGCGTACTGCTGTTGTCGGTAGAGCTGCAGCTGGATGGCGGCCCGCTGCCGCGCCTGCCGCCCCCGTTCGGCCAGCTGGAGAACGCGGACGGCCTCGGCCAACGGCATCGGCGGCTCATCACTCGCCGCTGCACCTTCGCCGTTCGCCTTCGCAGCCGCCGCGCCAGCTTCCTCGCTGGCCTTCGACGGCAGCGGCGGCAGTGCCTTGGTGGGGTCCTGCGCGAAGAGCGTCGGGTAGCGTGCCGCTGCCACAGCGACCGGTGCCGCATCCGGCTCCGTTTCCAGGTAGTACTGCTGCAGCGACAGGGCGTAGGTGCGATCCTTCTCTAGGGCCTCGCGGCGGTCTTCCAGCACGTAGGTGGGCAGCGGCGGGTCCAGCTGCGCCGGTGACAGCTTCATCTCCTCCAACGTATCGTCAAGCAACACGTAGTCGCCGCAGTGCTCGACGATGTTGTGGCGTGCCTCGAGCATGCGACCCAAGCAGCTGTCCAGTACGGTCCGCATGTCTTGTCGTCGCTGCGGCTGCAGTTCCGTGTCATGGATGCCTACGAGCTGCTTCGCAAGTCGGACGTAGCGAACATAAAGGGCCAGCCAATACTGGGTGTAGTAATGCTGCTGTGCTTTTGGATCGTCTGACACGCGCAGGGCGCTGATCGCGACGTCCTCCTGCTGCAGCTCCGTCAAATCAGCCAGCACCTGCTGGTACTGGCGCTGGTGGGATAGGTTGGACATGGCCGAGAGGGAGAGGGAGATAAAGGTAATAAAAGCGTGCCTCTGTATGTGTGTGTGTACTTGTTTTGAATGTGAAGTGCGCCGTTATATCGTCGCCGCAAAGGTAATAGAGTTTCTTCTAACTACTGTTCTCTTCTTTTCCAACCCCAACTCTGTCTACCGTGTATGTGTGTGTACGTGAAAGGCAAGGATGCGTAGCGGGAAAGGATGAAAGAGGGAAAGCCGCGCCAGCGCAGCAAGACAGAGGCGACACCATCGCGAAGAAGAAAAATGTCGAGCGCTGCAGCGCAACGCAGTGCGCACGTTTTATTATTATTATTATTATTATTTGCGACACGCGCGTGCAGTCTTCTTTGGATTTGCTTGCGGAGCGCAACCGTCGCCGCCACCCATAAATGCCGCCCTTCTTTACCTTCGGTGATTTTTGTTTTCTTTTCTGCTTCTTTGTGCTCGCCGAATTCTCTTGTCTCTCTCTCTCTCTCTGGCTGAGCGCAGCCGCACCCGCGCGGCAGCATCCAACGGCTGAGGGGAAAACGCACTCAAAAAAGCGTGCGTGCGGGCGTGCGTGTGTCTCCGCAAAAAGGGCCAAAGAACAGTGAAGTCGGATCGCACGAGAGGCGAGAAAGCCGGCCACGACGGCCAAAGCAAACAATACAGGAAAACGGACGCAAAGCAGGCGGAACACGAGGAGATATTGAAAGCAAAGGCGAACAAACCAAAAAAAAAAATGCACAACGGGCAGGTCAACATACAGACGCGCGATGAAGGACACCCACGCAAAAAAAAACAACAACCCGTTCATGATGGGGGAGAGAGAAGGCCCCACCGTCTCCGGCAACGGCGGCGGCGGCGACGGGGAAGCAAAAGTGGGAAACCTAATACTGAAAAAAGAAAAAGAAGAAGAAGTAGCGGCACAACAGCGATTCAAAGAGAGGAAGAGAACGTGTGTGAGAGAGAAGAACGAAAAAAAAAACATATGTATGTATGTATACAATGGATTCAGTAGAGGATGTCGAGGCGCCACTTTGCTTCCCCATGTACCCTCCACCTCTCCGCTGCTCCTGTCCTCTCGCCGCTGCAGGAAAACCAGAAAAAAAAAATGGAAACCACAATGATTACCCCTCGAAGAAAACAAGAAACATGAATGAATAAAAACAATCAAATAAATGAGCGAGATATGTCTCTCCTATCTCGGAGAAATCTGCTTCGCTGTCTTGCTGATCGCAACTGCCTCCCCGGCGTGTCATTTCATCCCGACGACGCTCCCCTTTCCCCTTTTCGTAGTAGTAGGAGTATTTTCTTTCTTTTTTTGAATACCACCACACAGCTTCGCGTGCTCTCCCACCGTGCACCCCACGCAGCTCTGCAGGTGATCGCAGATGGACACCTCGATAGAAAGAATATGTATACAAATATAAAGAGGGTACAACCGTAAAACACACATTCACCAGCAGACATGAGAGAAACGAATCGAAGCACAATGAGACGGTCGTAGCACACGTGCGCGCCGTGGCCGAAGGCGGCATGACTTTCCATTAGGCGAAAGCAAAAAAAAAAACGGGAATTCCGTGCTGAGCAGCGTTAAACGTAATAATAATTAGTGTACACGAACAGTTCTACCGGAAGGAAACCGCAGCATCTCCTTTTCCCTCATGAAAATAAGTAATTAAAAACCCCTAATGCCGCACCACACAACTCGTTAATCAACCACACACACACACACACACACATACAATAGGAAACAAAAAAAAATAGAGAGCAACAAAAATAAGTAAAGAGAAACCGCTAATGCTTTACATTTTGCCACCGTTTTGCAGCGAGTACTGACGCTCCGCTACGTCGCGCAAGGTCGGGAAGAAGTGCTTCTGCATCACCTTGGCGCTCAGCACAAATACGAGCACCGTGCTGAGGTACAGAATCATGTAGAACCAGTACTTACCGCTGCTCCAGAGGGTGTAGGCGTGAAAGTAGAAGCTCGTATCACCAAACAGAGACGGGATCGCCGAGTACACAATGAGGAGCAGCATAAAGAAGATGTAGGAGAGTCCTACTCCGAGCACCTGCAGCCACTGCCAGTAGCGGATGTGGAGCGCAAAGCGGGTAATGACGACTGTGAGGACACCACAGAAGATTAACGTGCCGCTCATCTTGCCAGTGTAGCGCCGGTTCGAGCCGTCGAGGTCGATCATCGTCGGGTAGGCCATGAAGAAGATGGCGATGGCCGTGACAACCGCCTCGATGAACCAGCGAGCCTGCAGTTTGAGGTTGAAGTACTCGCCGTGCGAGAGCGGACTGTACAGCTTCGGCCGCTCCAGCAACGCCTCCTCCGGGAGGTCCTTGTCGAAGATCCCCATAAAGAAGGGCGGGATGCTCGTGAGGACGACGTTGTAGAACGTGAGCAGCCACCCATCAAACGGTGTCTGCGAGGAGAAGCCGACGAAGAAGGCGAAGATGAACTGACACACAGCGATGATGACATTCTTGTAGAAGCTGACAAGGATGCAGCTGGCGTTGCGGTAGAGGGAGTAGCGGCCGTGCACGGCGCAGAGGCGGCGGAGATGCTTGAAGCGCGGGATGGCGTAGTCCGCCGCGAGGGCCGCCTGCGCGCCCTCCAGACCGATAATGCCGACCCCCACGCGTCCCTCCTGGATCATCGACACGTCATTGGCGCCGTCGCCAATGGCCAGCGCCGTCAGCCCGTACGACTTCTGAAACATGTGCACAACGTTCGCCTTCTGAATCGGCGTGAGGCGGCAGCAGACGGCGGAGTTCACCTTCTGCGACAGGTCGAGGAACTTGTCGAAGTAGTGCTCCATCGCGATGTTCAGTGCTGGCCCGTCGACGACGAAGGTGCAGCGACGTGCCTGATCGCTGCCGCGCAGGGCGACGTGCTGCTCAATCACCTCCAAGTCACGGCCGACCTTATCGATCGCGCTCTTGACGGAGGGGTCGAGGTGACCGATATCGATGTGGTCCACGAAGTCGGTGCGTGGGTCGCACAGCGTGGACGTCGTCGCGATGGTGACCGCCGTTTCTCTCTTGTCGCCCGTCAGCATCCACACCACCACGCCGGCGCTCAGGAAGAACGACAGCGTCTCCGGCACCTCGTCCTGCAGCTTGTCCTCGATGGCGGTGGCCCCGACGATGCGCATATTCTTTTCCATCTCAAGGCAGACCCGATCCACCTCCTCACTGCGGTTGTGCAGCAGCTTGCCGGCTTCAATGAAGCGGCTGTTCCACCGCTCGAATTGGGCGCGGGTGATGTCCTTCGCGCAGACGAGCAGCGTGCGCAGCCCCGTCGACGACATCTCCGTCAGCGAGCTGTCCACCTGCTCCATGTGCGCCTGCACGTCCGGCTCGCGGCTCAGCTGCGACCGCACAAAGCTGTCCGCACCTTTGTTGTATAAGGTGATGCGCTTCGTGTCGCTGTCCTCGACGATGATGCTCATCATCTTGCGATCCGGCGTGAACTCCAGCGTGGCGAGGATGTTGTACGTCTTCTGCGTGTCGTTGGCGAGCTGCAAGGTGATGGCGCGCGTGGTGCGGTTGACCAGGCGAAACCCAAGCAGTGCGGCTGTCTCCACCAGCGCAACTTCGTCCGGCGAGCTACCTTCGTAGATGATGCTTTGCTCCTGATCCGTGTCCTTGAAGGGCTGGATCGTGTTGCACAGCGCCAGGGCTAGGAAGTACTCCTGCACCCGCCCCAGCCCGTTCGAGGCCTCCTCCTTGCTGAGCTGCGCCTTGCAGCCCTCTAGGTCGTCCGCATCAATAGGGAAGCCGAGGGCGTCGCCGTGCTTGAACTTCATTACATTCTCCGTAAGCGTGCCGGTCTTGTCGCTGAAGATAAACCGTACCATCGCCAGCTGCTCGTTCAGGTTCGACGTGTTCGGCTGGCAGTGGCGCCAGCGCCCCGACATGTACTCCATCATGTGACAGTCCACGCGCATCCACTGCGCCTGGATCACCTTGCACAGCTCCATCGTGATAAACAGGGAGATGGGCACGCAGTAGCTAAACAGAATGAAGTAGGCAAGGTAGCGGTAACCCCACAGGTGCCCGTTTTCGTGCTCCCTGAGGAAATAGTCTAGATACACAACATCGCTGTGCCGGTGGTTCCACCACACCGCGAGGGAGGCGATAATGAAGAGCATGATGTTCTGAAAGATGAAAATTAGAATAATAAGCACGTTCAGCTTTCGGTCCAGGTTGGACGACTTGGGCGGCCTCTCCTTCAGGTTGCGGAACATCTTTGTGTCGACCCCCGCGTAGGCCACCATGCCCCACACCCAATCCGTGTTTCGTAGCACGCAGCCGCGGTAGAGGAACTGGTCCAGCGACAGCGCCAATTCCTCGCCGTTCAGCTCGAGCATGCCGTTCCACGACAGCAGCCCCGGGTCTGGCATGCTCGTGTGGAGCACACCCGTGCTGTTCTGAATCGCCGCCACGCTGCTCAGCGTCCACGTGGGCTCGAGCGCCTTCCGGCTCTTCAGGTTCGTCTCACCGTCCAGGTTGCACGTGTCGATGAAGGCCTGTCCTTCGTCGACGGAGGAGGAGAAGAGGACGACATCGGCGCGCACCTCCTCGCCGTTTTTGACAAACACCGCGTCGCCTGCTTGCACGTCTTTGCTGGGCACCGGCACGAGTTCGCCGCCCCGCACGACCGTGGCCGCGATAGAGTTTGCCCGGTTATCGGCCTGGTGGCGCCGGATGTCTTCAATCCCTTCTTTGATGAGGGCGACCACCAGCACCACCACCAGCGGCGCCACCGACGTCGCCGGGCTGACCGGCGACACGCCCGGAATAAGACTAAATATCATATTAATTAAAAAGTAAACGTTGCTCACCCGGGTGAACTGGAAGAGGAGGCCCAGCGGGAGGAAACTCCAGAGGGTGTATTTCGAGGTGCAGATGAAGTTCGACGGGTAGTTGAAGGGCGCGTTGGCGGCTGCGTCGTTTAGGTACACAATCACCTCCGCCTCGACATCCTCGTCCTGGCTGAGGCGGCCGCAGCAGAGGGCATTGCAGAGCTTGTCGGAGAAAATGGCTCTCGGGAAGAACCTCCGCCAACCCGGCTGGCGCCCCGACATGACAAGGTCGGCTGGATTAAACAAAAAGAGAAGAACAACAACGACGACGACGACAGCAACACAAAGCAGCTGGCCTCAGGGCCGGTGTGCGCTAAAAGGGCAAAAAAGAAACAGCTGCAAAGGAAAGACAAGTAAACGCCCCCCAAAACAAAAAAGAAGCTTCCGAGAACGCGCAGTACTGCAATTTCTACAACAATTTATGATTATGATACTAACAACAATAATAATAACAAATAAGATGTATGCGTTGCTAGCTACAACAACGGACAACAGTCGTCAACCGTAGCTGTGCAACTGCGCGTTGAGGTAGAGGAATAACGTTACAGGAGAAACGAATGGCAATTGAAATGCAGGAAGAGGAGGAGGAGGATGAAGTCTGTGTGATTCTTCGCGTGAGTGGCTGTGTCCGTGTGTGGCGGCGATTATGTCGCAGGAGAACAAAATTGTGCTGCAAGGATGTCGTTGCCGTTGGTGGAGATAGGCGCACCCACCCATAATGCGTCCCTTGCTATCCCTCTTAAGCAGCTGCTCCCCCGTCAAGGAATCCGAAAAAAGACAGTTACGTCCGATGAGTCCATAATAATAATTATTATTTGTTTTGGAGGGGAATGAACGATGCTTCTCTTTTTTTCTTCTTCTCTTTCTGACTTGCCGCGGAGGTCATCGGCATACACGCGACGCGGCAACGTCAGTCCCACCCGGCAAATGAGAGAGGGTGCGAGAGCGCGAAGACAGCAACCGCACATCACCGCACCGTGAAAAGAAAGGTTCAAATTAAAGTTCGACGTGTGAAGGACACGAGCACCGCATTTTATTATCTTTGAATTCTTTTGAAGAAAGTGCCAGCCAGAAAAAAAGTCTGAAAGGCAACGGTGAGTTGAGAACGCTGTGAACCAACGGCACACACACACACACGCAATGATGTGCAGCTTTCAGTAGTGGAGTCTGTTCACACACAGTCTGCAGCATGCGCTTTACACAGGTCCTCCGCAAGGAATCTCATCGGCGGTTACACCCAGTAGCACCTGCAAATCCGGCCTGGCGGCGAACCAGCTCGCACTCAGCCCGGTCTCCGCGCAGTGGGCGGCATGATACCCCTGCGTGACCGCCAGCCAGCAGTTCTCCTTGTCGTCGTCAATCAACACCGCATCCGTGCTCAGCCAGCGTGGAAGCAGCAGCGGCGCAGGGGAGGCGTACCGACACGCAACGCTGTCCAGCGCCTCGTGCGATGAGCAGCTGAGACTGGCACCGTTGGCATCGTTGTGCTCCTCCGCTGCAGCAGCAGCAGCAACAGCAACAGCAGCGGCGGGCGACGTGTCTCGTGCGTTGCGCCGCTCCTGCAGCACCTGGAGGTGAAAAAGCTTTCCCGGTCCTGCGATGGACTTCGGCAGGCAGACCGTGTCGTCCGGGCTCGTCAGGTACGTCCGGGTCGGCGGCAGCACGGCGGAGAGCAGGAGCAGCACCACCTCCGGCACGCTGAGCTCGCACCAGTGCTGATCGGCCGCCCCCTCCGTCAGCGAGCAAATCGCCAGCTCGTGCCCACGGCGGGTCACCGCCTCACAGAAGCCGCGGAAGAAGTCGACGTCGACGAAGAGGGCCCGCAGCTCGCGCGGCGACATGGACTGCACCGCGCGGAATGAGAGGGAGCTCAGCGGGTACCGCAGCACGGTCAGATCCAGATCCAACACCACCAGCAGCGGAGAGGTGACGGTGGAAAAAGCGGGGCCACGGCGCACGTGCACGTGACGGTTGAGAAGCATCCCCGCCATGATACAACTCTCTTCACCGCTGTCGTCGCCGTCGTGAGTGTCGACAACCGCTGCTTCTTTGCTCCTCCACGCACCTGTGCCGGCCAACCACTGCGCAGAGGAGAAGGCGGTCCACAAAGTCGGCACGGGTGTCGTGCTGGGCGAGGCAGAGAAAACTGCATCGACGAGGACATCAAAGGAGTCCAGGGTGGAGTTCACCGCATCCACCAGCGAGTACCACCACGGCGTCGGCGTTGGTGGCGTCGTCGTTGCTGCGATGGCGATGGTGGTGGGTGAAAGCGTTGATGCGGTCGTGCCGGGCAGCGACGGTGACGGGTGCGAGGCGGCGGTCGGCGTGCTCGTCGTTGGCGAGGACGGCCCGTTCGTGATGGGCATGAACTCCTCGCGCTCGTCAAAGCGGGGCATCGCCAACGTGCGCTGCGAGAAGGGTTGCGGTCGCGTTGGTCGAAGCTGCGGATTGTGCGGAGAGACGCCGCCGCATCCGCGTGGTGTGTCTTGCGGCAACGGACAGGAGTCGAGACGCAGCGACGGCAGAAGCTGGGTGAGTTTGGCGCTGAGTTTCTCGGTAAGACGGCCGCGTTGGCTGCCGCCGATCATGCTGGTCAACGCAGCAACAGGGAAGTGCGGCGAATGCAGCAACGCTTCGCACTCGCTCGCCGGTGCGGAGGGCCTCGAAGCTGACCCAGCTACCTCATCCAAGCCTCTTCCTCCTCCTCCTTCACCTTTTCCGATTTCCTTTTCCTTTTTGCGGCTCTCTGTGCCCGCACAATAGCTTTTCAGCTCACACGCGCGAAGCTGCGGTGTGTTCTTGTACCCGAGCACATCCGCTGCGGCGACCTCGCCGATGAGGAGCTCCGCGACGCTGCTGTACCACTCCAGCAGCAGCTGCCGCAGCATTTCCTCAGGGGGCGGTGCGTCGTTCGGCAGGTGCAGCACCGGCGGAGGGGGGACACCCCCTTTAAGTGCGGACGCGGACAAGAACGGTGGCGCAGGCGGCGTGCCAGCGTTCATCATGCCATACGGTTGGGAAAGAGAAGAAGGAAAAGTACCTGTATGCGAGTGCATGTGCGGGGCGGACTTCACGGAGGTGGGCCGAGGCGCGTGCAGTGCGGCACAGCAGGTTCACCTCAACACCGCCAAAACGAAAGACAACTATAGGCGAGAAAACAAAAGCTCCGTTTCAGTCTCGAGGCGGACGCAGAGGAGCCAGGAAACAGCTAATACAAATATCAGGATAAAAAGATCAAAGGAGAAAAACAAAAAGAATGCTGGTACATGTCCGTGCTGCTGAAAAACCAGAATGAGCAAGCACAACAGAAGTGTCGGTACCACCCCTCTCAGCGTGGGTGCGAGAAACAAACCTTGTGAGCCAGACAGGGAACTCTGCGCAGCGCGTACGCCCTGAGCGCAATTCCCATCCCGTGCAAAAGGAAGGGAGGAGTTACGAAAGGAGCGAAAGTGCAAGGAGAGAGTCGCCACAAAACTGTACAGCAAGAACAGAACAGAATAGAAGGGAGTTCATGTGCTTTCTCCCCCCTCTCGCGTAGTGAGAAAGTTGCCGTAAGGGAAACAAACGAAGCTCGCGCATCGTCCAACAGACCGCAGTAGAGCCAGGTTTCAAGCTGCACATGACACGAGGTGTTGCGTCGACCACTTCGCCGGCCGCAGCACCGCAGAAACGCTGGCCCGCTTCCTCCTCCTCCCTCCTTGTCCAGTTGTGCGCTGCCACTTTATGGTCTAGGCAAATTTAACGGACGCTTTTAGGTGCAATAATTGAACTAAAACATCCAGCGATGACGGAGGAAGAGAATGTGCTGCAACAGGAAGAAGGAAGGAAGGAAGACAACGTCTAACACGGATGTTTGTTTTTGCGGTGGTTGCGAGAGAAAAGGGAAAAGGGGGAAGGGGGGAAGGGCGTCGAAGCAAAGCAGCGCAGTCGGAGAACACAGCAGCGACGACAACAACAACAACAACACGAGAGAGGAGAAATAAACGACTCACACACATACACACAAACGCCGAACTTGCTTTCTGCCGCCGCACACGATCAGGCACTTTCAGCAGATCGTCGCACCTGTCGCTGGTGCAGCTGGGCCGCCACCGACGTCAACAACAGGGCGAGCTCATCGAGGTCCGGTTCGTCCGTCTGGGCCATCGACATCTCCGTGGCGGACTCAGCCATCTCGCTCTGCTCCAGCAGTTCTTTAATCTGCAGCAGCGACTCGCGTAAGTGACGCGCCTGCACGGTGAAGTGTTCGCTTGTGAAGCTGTTGCTGGCACTGACCTCGCCGGAGTGCTGCTGCTGCTGCTTGAAAGCCTCTGTCCCTTGCAGTTGTACCTGCGGCGGCTGCGGAGGAGACTTCGCGACAGCGCTGGCGGAGCCGCGCAGCACGGCGTCGTCGGCACGCGTGGTCGCACCGATGTCGTCCCGCCGCGGGTCCGCACGCCGGGGCGGGCTGTCGGACCACGACAGCGGCACCGACGACGCGAGGCGGGTGCGATCGCCACCTGCGGCTGCCGGGACTTCCGCGTTCTCCTCCTGTCCGACGTGTCCCTGTGCGTTGTCGGAGGCGCCTGCCGTAGCGGCTGCCACAGCGCTGCGCAACGTCTGCGAGTCCACCGTCGAGGCAGACACGTCGATCATGGAGGCCGACGCGGCGGTGCTCACGGGAGCTGCGTTTGGCACCGTTCGCGGGTTCGCACTGTCCCGTGCACGCGGTGCGGCGAAGTGTGTCGGGTGGGCGATGTCGCCTTCCTTTTGCGGTAAGGGTGGCGCGGACGTGACCGCTGTGGATGCGGATGGTGGTGGGGCGTCTGCGGGGACCTGTGGAGTCGGTTGCTGTTGAGGTTGGCGCGCTACCCCGCCCGGGCGTGGCGTGCGGGGGTGCTCGTTGCCACGATTCTCCTGCTTCTGCTTGGCGTAAAAGCCGGTTAGCTCGTCAAAGCGTTCATTCAGCTGACGGCTGGACGGCGCACCAACCGAGACGGTACGGCGCTGCCGTGGCGCAGGTGCAGGCGGCGTTGCTTGACTCGCCACGGTTCTGGCAAGGTGGCGCGGCGTGCGAGCCGCTCGTTTCGTGGAGGTGACGGTCGTGGTGGTGGTGGTGGGCCGCGCTGTTGCTGCAGCAGGGGCGGCGGGCGCAGGGGCTCCTCTCGCGGGCAGCGTCAGCGGCGCCACCGCCGTGGTGGCTGTGCGGGAAGTGGGAAGCGGCGGCACGACCGGCCGCGACGGCTTCACCTCGGCCTTCTGCTTCTCCACCGCCACCGGCGCCACGGGCGATCGCAGCGGCACATCCGGGTGCGGCGCCGACGACGCACGCAGCTCCACGGAGTCCAGCCGATACGCGTCGATGCCGGCGGTCCCCATCGCATAAAAACGCACCTGGCGTGCTGTCTCCTCCACGTCTGCCACCATCAACGCAGCGGCGGCGCCGATGACGCAGGAGGCAAGCAGGCGGGGGCTGTCCGACAGCCGCCACACCGCCACGGCGCGGTCCACGCAGACCACCGCGACGTCGGGCCGATGTGCCGCCACCGCCGCCACGACAGCCCGCCCCGCCGGTGCCGCGTGCACGAGCGGCGTCGCAGCCCAGCTACACGCAGAGCCGCCTTTCCACTGCACAAACGCACAGCTCGCGGCAGCTAAGACGAGAAGTCCGCCGCGGCAGGGCAGCACACGCTGGATCACGTCGGGGTGCGTGTAGGTGGATGCGGAGGTGCGCTCTCGATGCTCCGACAGACCGACGGCGACGATTGTGTTGCGCTGCACCGACACGACGCGGTCGCCTTCGGTGGTCACCGACGCCAAGGTGGCCTCGGCAGCAGCGGTGCTGCATGTCGTGGCTGCGGCGTGCCCACCAGCGTGCACGAGCAGCGCCTGCGTCCCATCTGGGAGGGACACGCCGCCGTCGCTGCCGCCGCTGTCTGGGTTCGTCATGCACTCTATGTAGAAGCTTTTCTCGCTCACCTCGCCCTTCTTCACGGTGCCCCAGCCGCAGCGGTAGCGACGCAGGCGAGGAGGCAGCCCGCTCTTCGGCAGGGACACCAGCGCGTAGAAGGACTCCCCGACGGCGGAGCTGGCAAGGCTGGTAATCGTTTCTTCATCGCCGTTTCCTGCCGCTGCTGCGGTGGCGAATGTGCTTACTTCCGCCACGGGAGAAGTCGCCGTGCGGCCGTACGCGACGAGCGCGCGACGCTGCGTGTCGTAGAGCACCACCGTGCCCGAGGCGGGGTGGAGCGTGACGCAGGTGGAGGCCACCGCATAAGCTGCCACCAAGGCACCGTTGGCCGCCGAGACGAAGAGCAACAGGTGCGGCGTCCACCAGCACCACAGCGCGTCGGAAACCACAAGCCACTGCACCTCGCCCGCCTGCGTCACGAAGGCGCCGTTGCCGCTTGCGCGGCGTGGGCACGAGGCGAGACAGTTGGGGAAGAAGGCGCTGCGGTGAAGGGCTAGGCGATGTGTGCCGGCCCTGCGCCCGACCGAGTGAGATGACATCGCACCACTGCGGTAGAAGAGAAGCACCGTGCTGTCGTCGGCCGCCACGGCGCCGGTGAAGGCGTCCGCCGTCTTCGCCTCTGCCTCTCCCGTGCCGTTCTTCTCCAACCCGGCACCGGCTGGCGGCTCCAACTTGATGCGTCCCTGAAACTCCCAGCTGCTCGCGTGGAAGAAGCGCGTCAGTTCGCCAGTCAGCACGAGGCTGTCCCCCGCATACACGCAGAGCCCCGTCGCGGCGGGCACCTTGCAGTCCATCCACCGCGTCATCGCACCACTCGTGGCGTGCAGCGCGACGAGGAAGCCACTCGCTGTCAGGGCGATGTAGGCGTCCTCGCCTTCGGCAGGGCCGGCGATGCAGTGGGTGTACTCGGCGTCTCGCAGCTCCGTGACGGCGCTGCACGGCCGACTGAGTACCATCAACCGACTCCGCTCGCCGTTGCTGTTGCCTCCAGCACGCGACCCCGCCACTGTTTCCTCCGCGCTGCCGCTGTGGTGCTGCGTCTGCACCGTGAAGAGACACACTTTACCCGCTTGGCAAGCGGCGAAAGATAGGTCGAAAGAGAAGCTGCACATCGATTCTAACGGCGCCATCGCCCCTCGCCAGAGCAGCGCGTGAGTGTCCATGCACCACAGCGACAAGCGGTACGGCGCAGGGTCCGATAAATGACTGGAGAGGAGGGAGGAGAAGGCGAGGTAGTGAGCCGCCTCCGTAAACAAGAACGTCGCGCCGTAGGTCGCGTCGCCGGTAACGCTGCGCGGCAGCTTCGTCGACTCCGCAAAAATCGGTTGGGAAAGCGATGTGACGTAGAGACCGTGCTGCTGCGTGCCGACGCACACGATATCCCGCTCGGGGTGCCCGCTCACGAATGCCACCGCCTCGTCCGCAGCACTCAATGAGAACACGCGCATTTGGCTTCGCCATCGCAGCTCAATCGAGGAGGTCGTGGACGGCGGCGACGTCACGTCGACCACAGCGACGGCGTTGTCGGTGGCGGCGTAGACGACGTAGCGGTGTCGGTAGGCGGTGCAGCAGCGCTTCGGTGCGGTCACGGCGTGGCCCACGTGCCACTGCGCGGAGAGCGGAGTCGCAGGTGCCGGCGCCGACGTGGACGATGTCACCGGCGGCATTATTATGGTTTTCTTTTTCCCCTCCTGCGTTTTTGTGTTTGTGTTGCTCGAGGTGGTCTTCTACGGCTGTCTACGTGCGTAAGGAAGCATAAAGATATCTATACGTAGATAGCAGGAGACGGGGTAACAGCGGACGATAAAGGCACGAGTAACGAAGAATTCGTGCGAGGCAAGAGGTGCCGTTGTTTCTTCTAATTCTTCAGGTGCTTCCTTTTCCCTTTTGGACCGCACGGCTCCGGCGCGCCGTCCTCGTCAAGTTTTCGGTGTCAGTCGAGGGAGCTCCACAACGCTCGATACGGTGAGCCGCAGCGTTCAAAGACTCCGCTAAAGAGAGAGAGAGAGGGAGAACAGTAACAAAAATGATAACAATAGAAACGGAATAGATGAAAAGGAAAGGAAAAGCAAACGCCGAAGAGTTGTGTGGGGCGGCGGCAAAGGAACGCCTGCGGGGCCGCGCCTGCTGAGAGGACACACAGAAATGAAATGTGTGTATGTGTGTGCTTCTGCTGTTTCGTGAGTACTGTAAATGATCCACTGCATGCGCGAGAGAAGAAGGGGGAGGGGCGAGACAACGAAGAAAGGAACCGTAAAGAAAACAGGGGAAAAAGGAGGAGCGTCAACGGTGTTGGACTGCGCGTCAAGCAGCGGACGAGGGAGAAAACAGAAACGCCATCTTTTCCGACCGCATGTCGAAGCGAAGAGTGGGCCCAAAAACGGGCCGGTGTGGCTCCCCGTGCGAAACTGCTATGAGCGGTGCACAGACACACACCAAGCCAACACACACTCACAGAACACCTGCAGGTGCACTTTGGTATGGGCGGCCTTCTCTTCACGTACCTTTTTTGTTTGCTGCGTTTGTAGTTACAGTAAAGAGGGGAGGGCCGCATTGGCCCTTCTTCATCTCCCCGTTCCCCCCCCCCCCCAACCAAGCAAATCGCTCCTCCACCAAGGAGAAAAGCCAAAGTCCGCCAACGAGCCGAGTGTTGACTCGCGGCGCCCGCACCAACGCGCAGCCAGAAAGAAGGTGAAGCGAAGCAGCAATGCAGAAAAAAAAAGGAAAATATCACTAATAGTAGTAATGAGAGAGTGAGTGAATAGCAGCAGTGATCGACAGCACCCGAGGCAGCAATGGGAAACGGAGGGTATCATGCGCACCACAAAATGACAGTGACAACTATGCAAAACAAAGAAGGAAAGAGAATCACGCAGCGACAGCTCGAACAAAAAAAGTAATTTAAAACCTTCCCTACCGTTTCATCACAACACCTCCCGCATCGCACACGCCGTCGGCTCATCCGAGTCGAGAAACTGCTGAAAGCGGCGGCGGGCCGCGTTCACGTTCAGCTTATGCAGCTCCACGCTCACCTGCGGATCGGCCGACACGACCAAGACGTGGGTGCACTCCGTAAAGGGGTACAGCATGGCTGTGAAGGACTCCGTCGCAATGCTGAGCCCGCCCAAGCTCGTCGTGTTGTTCATGCAGCTCAGCTTGAAGTGCTTCACCGTCTCGCTCACCTCCGTCGTGCGCAGCTCGCCGTTGCCCTGCAGGAACGGCGGCGCCGCAGCGGCGTCCTTCGCGGCGGTGCGGGTGACGTGCGTCAAGCACAGAAACGTGCTGCGCTCGTACAGCGCGACTTCGACGGCGTCGCACGCCACGGCGATGCCCCGCATCGTCTCCACGAGGACGTCGCGGTGCGGCACGAGCGAGCGCACGACGGAGCTGTAGGCGAGGTAGAGGGAGTCGGACCAGATGCTCGTGCCGAAGAAATCGATGTCCGCGCCGTCTTCGGGGTCGATGCAGTTCATAATCTCCTGCTTGCGGGCCTCGAAGATCTCCTGGCGCATGTCGCGGTGAATCAAATCGATCTTGTGCAGCAAAACAAAGACTTTGGCCTTTGGACTGTACTGCCGGATGTAGCGCATTGCCTCCTTGAAGTAGTTCAGCATCTCCGGCAGCTTCCAGTCCGTCGTGGCGCTTCCGCCTTCTCCGCCGCCACCGATGCTGCTACTCCCCACGCCGCTCGCACCGTAGCTGTCGCGGCTCATGCTGTTGATGTCGAAAACAAAGAGCATTACACCAACGTAGCGGAAGATGTACTCCTTCTGGCGGCTGAGGTACTCGGAGACGTAGCGGTGCTGTCCGCCGCAGTCCCACAAGTTGAGAAATAAGTTCCGCAGGATGTGCACCTGGCTCTGGTCGAGCGAGATCGTAATGCCGAGGCGCAGGGCGTCCCGGGGCAGGTAGTTGTCGAAGATGATGCTGCGCATGCACGTCTTACCCGCGCCGCCGGGCCCCATCAGCAGCAGCTTCTGCATTTGTTTCTGATCCATGACAGCGAGAAAAGACGTGTGCGGTTGTGAGTCGAAGGAAAGCGCACGAGTGCGAGATCGCACGTGTCACCGTGTGCTGCGTCGAGATGCTCGATATACAAAAGATGGAAGCTGCAAATGCACTCACCGGACGGGAGGCGGGGGAAGGCGATCGTAATAGGCACGGTATACTCTCTTCCTTTTTATTGCTATTGCTCTTCACTTTCCTGCTCGCTTCCGGTGAGCGTGCCGCATCACATGTGCGGTGTGTGCGCAGTCAGTCCCGGAAAGAACAACACCAGCAGCAAGAAAAAAAAAGGGAAGGAGGAGGATGAAGGAGAGAAAGAATGACCGCGTACGCGGGATGACGTGATGTGTGCAATGCGGCAGAGCAGAGATCACCTCTTCAGTGACGGTATTCTTATGAACGCAAAAACCAGCCCTTTTTCCTTGGCAAAATGCTGTGCGCGCTGAGGTGTACTGAATGCGCGGCATGACGAGGAGAGGAGAGGCAGATGTGCTCCAGGTCGGTGGCGGCAACGTTCACCCCGAGCGCACGACTGCTGCCTTCAGACCTCTCTCTTCCCCTCTAAAAAAGGAAGGGAGAATTCTCTTTTTCAAAGCGTCTTAGCGCTCCTCATCGCCCCCCCCCCCACCACACACAAACACGGCAGAGTGCTGAGTCCTGAGAACAGTTATTTCATTTTTTTTTCGTGTGTTCTTGCGAACGGAGGCAAAACAGCAAAGGTAGAACGAGAATAATAACGCAGCGAGGCGGAGAACGAAGGGGATAACCCCCTCGTTTAGCGCAACAACTTAGATCAGGCGAGAAGAGAACACACACAGAAAACATTTAGGTGAAAATGCGGACTTTCCCGTTTAAAAACAAAAATAGACATCAATTTGGAGCTGAAAAAAGAAAAGGGGGAAAAAAAGAAGGCCGCAGCCGTCGCGCACGACGCAAATAACGCATTCGTAGATACAGATATATATTGTGTTCATATAAAACAGGCAAAAGCACTGAGAAAACGATTACATTAGAAGCCGGCACCGCGAGAAGAGCCGCTAATGATCGTCCACACACAGGAAAATCACGCAGAGTGCTTGTGCTGTTGCCCAAGACAGAAGAGGAGAGAACCCCCCGAGAACGAGACACGAAGCGTTTCAGGCGAACACCGCCAGACAAACGAACAAAAAGAAAGAGCAGCAACAAGAAAAAAAAAACAATTTTCTACACCGCAGGAAATTACTCAGCGAAAAGGAAAAGAGAATCATCACCACCACAACAACACCCAAAACGAACACATTCCCCTCGTCGATTCTGCGACTTCTACAAAGGAAATACAATTAACGGGAACGCTACGCCTTTGTTGGTCTCATCGCCTACGATGCGGGGAGCCCCAGCAACACAAACACGCCAACGTGCTCACGTGCTCAACACATAAATGTTGTTATTTTAAAGAGAAGAAGAAGAAAAGACAAAGAAAGCGAAATTGCAACGACGTTCACCAGTTAACATCAAAGGCAAACGAGCTGTATACTGTGGCGAAGAAACGCCAACGCATTCCTCCTATATATTTACATGCGTGCATGTGTGTGTGTGTGTAACACACTTGCATTTACGAAGACATTACCGTGAGAAACGTCAGGTGGTGGTGCAGAAGCCACACGTCAAAAGGCGAAGTTACACCCAACACTACCAAAACAAAGAATATATTTTTTTTTCTTGGGAACGTAAGAAACCAGGAAGGGAACGAGAAACACCGTGAGTGCAGAGGACAAGGAAAATATGCGCGGAGGCAACAACAACAAAACCACCACCAGCGCACAACAGGACAAGTAAAAGCGAGCGCGTGTATCGGCACACTATTATTATTATAAAGGAAAAAGGGGAAACAAGAACGGGGAAAAATAGACGGAGAAAAGAAATGTTATACCCCTGCCATGAACCGCAACGGCGTACCACACACACACGCACACGCAATCAAACAAGAAATTGAACACTCAGAGGGGACCGTATGTTGAAGTGCGTGCAGCGCGCAGATACGTTCTACAGCTCTGAAAACAAGAGCGACTCCGTTTTTGTACGAGCGGGATTGTGTTCCTTAATTATTTTCCAGTGGGGCATCGCAGTATGACGGTGCCTTTCCTTCCTTTCCGTTCCATTTCATGGAGAAAACCCCTTATAAATAAATATTAGTTTTTTCTTAAAGTGGAAAATTCCTCTTCTACCAATTTACGAAGAACTTCCTTTTCCTGCTGTTTCGATTCAAGTTGACGCGGTGGCGTTTAGAATCCCGCCAGCAACAACACACAGCTCACACCAACACCCGTTCGCTTTCGCACCGGTGCGCGAAGCCAAGAAGGGGGGGGGGGAAATAGGTTCCTCATTTTTCTTATGTGTATCTATAATGCCAACGAGGGAGCAGCTCCGCTGTAAAGAGAAGGAAGAAGAAAACAAAAAAACGGAAAGAATGCGCTTCGTTACGTGGTGTGAGCAGCTCTTACAACGCCAAAAGGAATAGGCTGACACACTTCATGTGGGGAGGGGGAGCCTCAAGGTGGGTGCTGTTCGCCTCGCACATTCCTCAAATATACATATACTTAGTCTTTCTGTATGCCAGAGGCCCAAACACACACACACACACACACACACACACACACACACACGAGGAGAAGACGAAG